CATAATTTTTTTTATATATTCATAATTATATATATTCATCATTCATTTATATTTTCATAATTTTTATGTGTCTATATTGATTTAGAAATAACACTAAATCTATAAAATTCTATAATGTTCAGATATCTAAAATCTATAATATATTCATCTATATATTTTATAGTTTTATATTATATTTTAATTATGTATTTATTAATTATGTATAATTACAAATATTAATTATTTGTTTATGAAAACACCAAAGAAATTTTGTATAATATATAAAAATAATATAATATAGTACTAACTTGTATATATTTGATCTATATCTGTATAATTGATTTATTACACTTAATAAATCTATAAAGAAATGATAACTATGAACACTTATATATTTTCATAATTTTTTTTAGATAACATGTATTTATTTATCTATATTTATTTGTCGTTTATAACACTTAAAATAAACAAAAAACTATGTAGATTATGTATATTCGACATATTTATGAATTTTCATAATTATGTTTTTCAAAAGCAAAGGTTGTTTTCTTTTTTTAAATCATAATTGGTGATGTAGCATTTGTGAAGAAAACAAAACACATTTCATGTGCGGGTCGTGCTGGTTATTGGTGACTTGCATTGTAGTTTTCACAAAAATTTTTTTTTATAAATATGTCAGTACTTGACTATGTCATATTTGAGAGTCCGACAACAGACAGTGTTGATTTCCTTTGAACAACCTTGCTTTTTAAAGACGTTTTTAAATAAAAATGAAACGATTGGCTTCTTTTCTTAATCGGAAGTCATGCAGTGCAAGAGCAGTGAGGAAGAAAAGGATTCAAGGTCTTTGTGGACGAACTATCTGAAAGACGAAGAAACGTCCTTAATCAAGTGTACGTCCTTGAACGAGTGAACGAGACTTCCTCCCCGAGGAAAGAGGGTCTCTATTCATAGACCCTTCTCATCTCTCCGTACCTTTCCCTCCCTTCGCTCTTTCACAACCTTCTCATTCACGATCTGTCCATTCGTCTTCTCTCTCGCCGTCCCTCATGTAGCATGACATTTTTGTCCTCATTCAGGAGCTCCACAGTTAATTCAGGCTGGTCTTTCTTCTTTAGAGGAGTGAAGAGAAAGCCAGAGAATGACAAACAGTGGCTAATGAATTATAACAAGCATAAGAGCTTCCAGGAATGAAACCAGTCATCGTTCACTATGTGCAAAACTAAACTGATTTCAAACTTGAATGATTTGCCTCTCTTTTCCTGTACATTCAACATTAAGAATGAGCTTTAAATAGCCATAAACAGTACATTTAATTTATATAATAATTTTTACTTTTTTTATGATGCTTTAGGTCATTTTAGGAGCTTAACAGTCCTGGTTCCCATTCACTTCCATTAATTGGAAAAGAGCAGCGGGAACATTCTTCTAAACGTCTCCTTTTCTGCTTTACAGACGTCAGTCAGTCAGAAGGTTTGGGATCAAAAAAGGGTCAATAAATGATGACAGAATTCTAATTTTTGGGTGAACTATCCCTTTAAAGCCACTGCTGTTCCCTTGGCTGGATCTTCTCGCTCTCTGTTTGAAATAAAGCCGAGTTTTCGCATCAGAGTGAAGGATCATGGCGGGATCGAGTCCAAAGCTCACAGAAGGGCAGACTGATCTCATAACCTCCACAATCCTTCGTGTTTCTCCTCTAGGGAGTTTGTAAATCCCATTCATGAAATATCAATTCTTGTGCAGTCGAAACGGCCAAATACCCTCAAAACCCGAAAGCCTCGCACCTGAGTGGAATATATTTCCTATAATGCACTTACTGCTCATACTTTCACTATCCAAAGTAGTTTGTGACTGTTAGGGGGTCAATTTAAAACACTTTACAGTATGATTACAATGAGCATCATTTATGAAATATGAGCAAAATCAATTTGTGTAAATTGTTCACAAAGTGTGAATGATTATCCGTCAGTGGTTTTATTCTCAAAATGACCCTGACCAATATATCATCACTTTTTTTAATTTATTTTTTTATTGTTCATTTCCATTTTTTTTTGCATTTGAACAATGGATTGATGTGAGTGAGTGATTTATTATTATTATACGGAATTTGTGACTTTTGACCAAATATCAGTTGATATATCAGTCTATCACTAATAAAAAACTAAAACAATTTATTAGTATTACCGTTGTAATTTGTGTTATTATTATTATTATTATTATTATTATTATTATTATTATTATTATTATTATTATTATTATTATTATTATTATTATTATTATTATTATTATTATTATTATTATTATTATTATTATTATTATTATTATTATTATTATTATTATTATTATTATTATTATTATTATTATTATTATTATTATTATTATTATTATTATTATTATTATTATTATTATTATTATGTGCTTAGCTAAAATATCAGTTAGTTTGGCCTATCACTAATCTAAAGCTAAAACGATTCATTTAATTATTAATGTCTAATATATTGGTCTATTACTAATGTCTTTAAAAAAGTTGATTAAGGAAGTGAACTGAACTGAACTGATTTTAATTTTTTTTTATGTCCAGTACTTTGATCAATTACAAATCTAAAATTCAAACTATGATTGTTTTTTTTTCTTCTTGATGTTTTTGCAGAGCATTATGGAACATTTAGTAATTTAGCTTTAATAGTTTTTAGTTGATAGTTTGGGGTTTATATTGAACTTCTTTTCTTTATTGGTGATTGTTATGTGAGAAAAGGCAAGTCTTTATTACTTGAGATGATTACAAAGTCTGCTGCTAATTCTCTTCACAAAGTATTTTAATCAAACTCTGATTAGATGCAGCTAAGGGAAAGAGATCATAATTAGCTTTAAATTACCTTTCTCACTTCATAATGACAAAAAAGAGCTATTGTTTGTCTTTTAATCATCAAAAAAAGTGTTGGTTTTTTTTGAGACGGGAAATGTATAAATGTTCTTAATGCTTTCTGAATGTTTTTCAAATATATCTTGTTTTAATGGAAACCCTCATTGCACTTTTCTAATATTTGTTTGTTCGTTTTTAACAGGAAAAGATTCATATCGAGCTCAGTCAGTCTTTCGAAAAAGACGAAACGTCCATCAAAAATGAGGACAGTGAGAAAATCTCAGAAAAGCCAGAGAAAACAGACCCACTGTCCAAGAAGACACTCTCAAGAGGTGTGTGTGTGTGTGTGTGTGTGTGTGTGTGTGTGTGTGTGTGTGTCTTTGTTTTTTTGGCAGAGGAGGTGTTTTCTCACAGGCCAGATGGATGCAACAGAATGTGTGTGATGAATCTCTCTCCATCTCTCTCTCTCAGATCCCAGTCAGGACTACACCGACTCCACAGGAGTAAACCTCCACGAGTTTCTGGTCAACACACTGAAGAACAACCCCCGGTGTGTGAAAATCCCCCCGCCGTCTCATTATCACACCCTCACACGAGCACCACTGCTACTTCCTGTCGCTTCATTGAGCTCCTTCCCAAAATCCCATTTAAAATGTATACTTGGGTTACTATAAATAGGGACATATACATTTAATTTTTTTCCCTAAAGGTTTTTTTGACCATTTTATATTTACAATATTTACAATTTTTATATATTTAATACATAATGTTTCTTAAAAACTTTAATATTTTAATTAAACGTATAAGAGAAGTCCTGTTTTCCACATGTCTTGCAGCTCTTATCAGTTGGTAATGTGGATGGATGCGAGGCTTGTAGGCACACATTTGAATATTCTAGCACTTGTGCGCTGGATTCTCATCAGGTTGATGAGCTGTGATAAACGCTAATGAACGCTGTTCTTACAGAGACAGAATGATGCTGCTGAAACTCGAGCAAGATATTCTGGACTTCATTAGCAACATCGAGTAAGTTGAGCCAAAAAAACTGAAGAACAGTTTAAATTGACAATTTATTTTATGTATGTATGTATGTATATGTGTGTGTGTATATATATATTGCTTGTCAGTTTTAGATTGATATATCAGCAGCCAGGCTGATTATTAAAAATGACTTCCATTTCAGTATTTCACCCTTTTGAGATTTTCATTAAATATGGTTCATAGAAAAATATTATTGAGTGAAGGTAGAGAATTTTATGTAAAATATTAATTCATTTCATTTTAGCAATTAAATAATATTTATGTATCAATAAATCACTCGTTACACCCTTTTTATATATTGGACATTAATGTACATAAATATAAAATATTTTATTTTATGCATATTATATTATCATATTTATGTATTTATTTATTTTTTACAGAGGTAAATAATTTTTATTTATTAAACGTATATTAGCCTGTTATTTATTTATACATATTATTGGTTAAAAAAAAACTTCTTTTTTTTTCTTTGTTTAATTTTCATGCATATCAGTTTTGGCTTGATTTATAAGCCAGGCTGGTTATTAAAAAAAAAAAAATGTATGTAAAATATGATTTTAATTTGAGTGATTTAATTTATTTTTGTCTATATACAGTATGTCAGCGTTAAATTTCTCTTTACACACTGCTTTTTAGATATCGGCCATTATGAAAAAGCTGTTATTAATACAGCTTTATAATATATACATTTATTTATATTTATATTATCATCTTTAAATAAGCTTATGTAGGTAACTTTTTATTTTATTTTATTTTTTTGGTCGCAGAAGTCAGAAGCGGAAGTTCCCCCCGATGACATCATACCACAGGATGCTCCTTCACAGGGTGGCGGCGTATTTTGGGCTGGACCATAATGTCGATCAGACCGGGAAATCAGTCATTATCAACAAAACCAGCAATACTAGAATGTACGTGTGGATTTCAACTATCCTCATTTGTAAGAAGTGTGATTTTTTTTTATTTTTATTTTATTTTATGTATGCACTTCTTTCCCTTACAGACCAGATCAGAAGTTTTCTGAACACATTAAAGATGATAAAACAGATGATTTCCAAAAGAGGTACATCTTAAAGAGAGATAACTCCAGCCTGGACCAGGATGATGGCAGGGTGAGAAATATTTACTTATCTTAAATAAGCTAAAAAAATATAGTACTTACAAATTCTCCTTGAAATAATCCAATGACCAACAAATAAATATAATATGTATAATAAATGGTGCAATACAGCAGTCAGGAAGACAAAGTGTGTGTTTGTGTGTGTGTGTGTGTGTGTGTGTGTGTTTTAGCTGCGGATGCGTCTTAAGGACGACAGACGGAGTAAGTCTATAGAGGAGCGAGAGGAGGAGTACCAGCGTGCCAGAGACAGGATCTTCGCCCAAGACGTGCGTCTCCTTACCAAGATACAACACATCTTACAATGAACCTATTATTTAATAATGACATTTATTATTGGTGTCTGTTATTACTAGAATAAGTAATAACACTAATAATGAATATATGTGTAATATTTATTATTAAAATAATGTAGAATGTTTATTATTAAAAAAATGCAATTGTTTAAAGTTTATCATTTCCAACTTAATTTAAGCATAATTAATAAATTATTTATTGAAATTGTTTTCATGTTTTTCACGTAAAAAAAAAATGGTTTAGTTCATTACAATTATTATTTTTTTTTGCAGTTTAGAAAAAACTGGAAAATGTAATCTATTGTTTCAAAAGTACCAGTTTTGTTTACGATATTTTTTGTTAAATGTATGTTATTATAAATGTAATAAAATTATTTATTGAAATTGTTTTCATGTTTTTCACGTAAAAAAAAAATGGTTTAGTTCATTACAATTATTATTTTTTTTTGCAGTTTAGAAAAAACTGGAAAATGTAATCTATTGTTTCAAAAGTACCAGTTTTGTTTACGATATTTTTTGTTAAATGTATGTTATTATAAATGTATATATATATATATATATATATATATATATATATATGTGTGTTTATTATGTGTAATAGTTCATTTGAGCGTAATTAATAAATGGTTTAGTTCATTACAATTTAGCTACAATATTTAGCTAGAAAATTTCATGTTATGTTTCAAAAGTAGCACACAGATAGATAGATCAATAGATACTTTTTTTTATCATCTGTATTTCCACTTTTTTTTTTTGGTATTTATTTTTTAAAATGTGTTTCTATTTTTGTATGCAGGGACAAGAACATTTCCCGTTTGATAAAAGGTAAAAAAAAAAATTAAAAAAAAAGACATGGCATTGCTAGCAAATTATCTGTGAGAGCTTCTTTATTGCTTTCTTGTTTGTCTGTTGTCTTATGTATCTTATAATGATCATAATGTTTAAATTCCCTCTAGAATCCAAGAGGACGAGACTTTCATTAACACTCAGCAAAGACGACAGATATTCAGGTAGATTTTAGTGTGCTTGGTTTATTAGCTTAATTGCGTGCCGTTTATGAGACAGAGATTTGCACTTTCGAGTAAACTTTTTAGCCCTGCTTGTTTAAATTCTTGTCCCCCCCCCCAGATTGAGAGACGGGCACTCGGGAAACAGTCGTCAGAGCAGCTCTGAGAACGAGCTGAAGTATTCGGACCCTCGGCCCTGGAGCAGCACAGATTCAGACAGCTCCCACAGGAACCTGAAGCCCGCCATGACCAAAGCCAGCAGCTTCAGCGGCATCAGCCTGCTGATCCGAGGAGACAGTACAGCCAGCAGCAAGAGCACCGGGAAACTGTCTAAAACCAGTAAATAACCCTCCCTCCTTCACCAGGTCACTTTGCAGAGATGCACGATATAGAGATTTTGACAGGCACCAACAATGGCTGTTTTTTGTATTATATATCTATCCTGTTTTTTGCGTCGTCATGAAATCAAAATGAAGCCAGTTCACTTCCTTAATCATTCTTCAAGTTATTCCAAAATCTTCATAATCTTTCATCAAAATATAACAATTGTTCCTTCCTCTGAAACGACTTTCCATTTCTGCTGACATCATCAAGGCCATATTTTTAAGCCCCTCCCCTTCGACTTTCTGTCAGATTGAAATGTTGAGGTTTTTTATGTACAAAATTAATTTCAGCAAATTTGAATTAAATTAAATAACATTATATTACTATTTAGTTATTCCAAAGAAAAAGATGTTTGTCTTATTAATTATTAATTATTTTAGTTTGATTTAAAAAAAAAAAAAAATTTTTTTTTTAAAAATCTGAAATTATCTGCTTTTAACATCAGCCTAATCAGGGCTGCATTTCCCAAAAGCTTCGTAAGCCTAAGAAGTTTGTAAAAACGATCGTACGACTGATCTTAATATTACGGTCTGTTTCCAAAAATCATCGTAACTTAAAGGGATAGTTCACCCAAAAATGAAAATTTGATGTTTATCTGCTTACCCCCAGGGCATCCAAGATGTAGGTGACTTTGTTTCTTCAGTAGAACACAAATGATGATTTTTTAAGTCCAACCGTTGCAGTCTATCAGTCTTATAATGGATGGCAATGGGAACAAAATCTATGAGAGTAAAAAAACATGCACAGACAAATCCAAATTAAACCCTGCGGCTCGTGATGACACATTGATGTCCTAAGACAAGAAACGATCTGTTTGTGCCAGAAACCGAATAGTATTTATATCATTTTTTACCTCTAATACACCACTATGTCCAACTGTCTTTGTGCCTGCGCACTGCTTCCGATCTCTTGCGCGTGTACGTCACTCATTGTTTACACAGTGCACAGTCATTGTAGGTACGACGGCTAATCAAAATGGTACTTACTTGCGCTTATCCGGATTGTTCAAACTGACTTCTGAGCCTGCTCGCCTGAAGTTATGGTTGATTGCTC